TGCATTTTACATGGCATCTGAAAATACACTTCCTTAAGGGTATTTTTAATCTGAAAAGGGCTTCACTGAGTGAGAAGTGTTAGGAGCTCAGCAGATAGTTTCATTTTCACTTTCACTTTGGCCAAAGAGCCTGCAGGAGTCATGGGCAGGGTGTGTGGGTGGGCGGGGGGCTCCGCCATGAGGAAGCTTGGCTTAAAGACACGTCCCAGAGGTGTTTCTGGTCCCAAAAGGCATTTCTGGTCCCCACCTGTCGTTTGCTCCTCAGCATGGCTTCCTAAAAACGCTGCAGGATTTCTCAAACATGCATGAGTGAGTCAAAGCAAGGCTTTTGGGCATGTTTTTTTTATGAGAGTATAACATTATAACATGATATAAAACTCAAAAAAGTTGATTTTACATGATATTGCCCTTTTAAAGGAAATACAATTCTAATCTAAACACTAGCTTCTACAGCTGAAACTATATTTTATTTATTTTATTAAATGTGTTCTTGTTTCACTCTGGTCTTTCTTACAAACAAGCGTGCACAGACACTCCTCCTGAAGTCCATTCAGCATTTCCAAGTAACTCAATCTGACTGATTTTGGAAGATGGAGACCTTAGAGAAGCAAACACTCCACAGGAAAGACACGGCTCAGATTTGAACGCACAGTCTTCTTGCTGTGAGACATGATAGTAACCATGGCAACCACTACCCCATCATACAGCACACCGTAATGTTGCAACCAACCCCAAACTGGGACACTTCCATGTCACGGAGACACATTTTGATGACACAATTTCTGGTGAGTGAAAGCTGCATGATTTCTAACATTTGATGTTACAGCAAACCCATTTTTAAATTTTAGGTCACATTTCCTGTCACCTGACCCAAAACTCAGTCAGAACTTATCAGCATTTTCTCCTCAAAGATTCTATCAAAATTTAACATTTTCTATTAGATCTAGAGGGCATTAATTAACTGTTTGAATGTAAAAGACTGAGACTCACCTCTCCGGAGAAGGCCTGTCCGTTCAGCAGGTGTTCGGAGCCCTGGCCATCCTCACTACCAAAGTGTAGCCGGATCTCCTCCAGACGATGACTGTACGTCATCGGACCCCCAGAGATGTTAACTAGATGCTCCTTGTCCAGTCGCAGAGAAACATGGCGGCCAGTGTTATACATCGTCCCACCCACCTGGAAAAAACAAAAAAGTACTATTGATGACAAGCTTTTTTTTTTTCAGGGGGGGGGGGGGGGGTTAATTCATAACGGACACCAAGATGAAAAAGTAAACAAAGAAGAGAAAAAGGAGAAAAGTAAAGAAAGAGATTGAAAGGGAAATAAAATGATGTGATGCATTAAGAAAGCACAAGACATTTCAAGTCTGCCTCCACAACTGCAACAAGAGAGCAAACAAAAACACAGCAACAAAACATATGTATATAATATTAATAATTATAGCCTCATTGAAAAGTATTCAATTAATTTTATGAGTAGAATATAATAATAATAAAATATATACATACATCTGTACACACATACATACATACATACAGTACATAGACATTTAGTGGCCAAAGTGTATGGGATAAATCTTGTGCCAGCAGGAATTGAATTTGAATTGTTCAGATTGAATATGAATGTGCATAATTTGAAATTGAATGCATTGATTTGAAAATGAGCTTTACAAAACTGAAACTGAATTTAAAGTTTTGTGTCTTTGATTTGAAACTGTATTTTGGTTTATTAAAACTTCAGTTTGACTACTTTCACTTTTAGTTCCATAATTCAGATTTTTGTGTCACATCCTGGTCCTTGAGAAAGCCAGGCAGAGTAATCAAACACAGATCCATTGATTTAAGTTTCACTTCGGTGAAGTTTCCCTTCTGTAATGTAACAGAGTTGATGCAATTCATCATAAAAGTGACAAAAACAGACAGTTATTTTATTGCAGTGATTAATTTTTTACCTATATGTAGAAAATGGTACATTTACATCACATCATGGATCACATATTGATCAGATGCTGCTGCTAACTGATCCATGACTGACAGAAGCTTAACCAAAGTGAAATGTAAATCTGTGGATCTGTGTTTGATTATTCTGGCTGCCTGGACCAGGATGTGTGACACAAAAATCTGAATTTTGGAACTGAAAGTGAAAGTAGTCAAATTGAAAACTTAAGAAACCAAAATACAGTTTCAAATCAAATTAATTCAAATACAAAACTTTAAATTCAGTTTCAATTTTGTGAAATTCATTTTCAAACCAATGCATTCAGTTTCAAATTATGCAGATTCAGATTCAATCTGAGCAACTCAAATTTAATTCCTGCTGGCACAAGATTTATCCCATAAACACAGTCCCAACATAGAATGTACCTAGAAACACTTTTGAACACCTTTTTATGTGTGGTTGTGAGCATGATATACAAGGTTTCTCCATTGATGACAAGCTAACACAACAATTTTCTCTTTGCTTTTGGATCATTCAATTTATGTCAGAATACAGGTACATGTCAGAATATGAGAACAAAGTGCAGCAAGGTACATATTGTTTTAACTCGGCTTGAGGCCCAGCTGACCACAGGACCTCAAAATGAAACAGACTCCACGATGTGCTGGTGTTTGTATTTGTTGTCATACTGAAAGACTAACAGCGTTCTGTGTTAGGAGGGGTAAGACATGATGACACTGGTTGTCAGTGACATACTGTAGCACTGTGACGTCAGAGTCCTCTGAATCACTACCATTGGTGATCTGAAGCCAAATGATGGTTCCATTTTTACTAAGTCAGACTATAAATGGTAAATGTACATGTACAGTCATCTGTGGAGACTAATCAGTATCAATCACATTCATACACTGATGGGACACATCAGAGGCATTAGGGGTGAAGTATCTTGCCCAAGGACACAACAACTGAGACAGCTGGATGGGGGATTGAACCAGCATCCTTCCAGTTTCAGGACAACTCCCCTAACCACTCTGCCACAGCTGCCCCATCTGACTAAAAGTCAGAATTCTCAATGAAAATCAACTGAAAGGTCAAAATCCTGACTTGGACAGTTAGAAACATGAGACCAACCCTGGCTTCAAAATCTGAAGTGTTAATTACTTTGATAAACTTCTTGCTTTTGTCTTTGTGTCTGATTATTTCAGCAAATAAACCCCTGAATATCAGCTGGATTAGAAAACATGTTGCTTGAATCCGTCTATGGTTGGATTACTGAGAACAGTTAGCAAATCATTCTGGTTTTCCAAGGTGCAACTGAAGCATGGTTATGTTGAATGTGACGTCAGTCCCTGATCGGAGTTCTGACCATAATCAAACCGCAACAAACAGCTGTGACCACACATCCACCCCCTAGACACCATGAAGCCAGGAGAAACAGCTGTGTGTTTCTATACAACACAGGCAGGACCTGCCTAACTTGAAACCATCACTCCAAAATGAGGTTTGGTCCCCATAAGGACCAGCTCTGACAAGATGGGTGTTGCTTTTCCCCAAAAAGGTTCACACGCACACAAGCTCTCACACACATACAGGTAATGTACCAAGACTTCTGAAACATCTTTTGTGAAATCCTTTTGTTTTTGATTGCGCACAGTTGGAGCCAAAATCATCCACGAGCATCCTCACGCAGGCTGATTTCAAAATCCTCCATCTGTGTAAACGTTTTGTGTTGGAACAGTCCTTTCTAAGTGCTGCTGGGTAGGTTTTTTTTTCATCAAACGAAATATTTCTCTAGTGAGAACTTCTAAGAAAGTGAAGGACTTAATATTCAGCTGAAATTCTTTTATTTCATTCTTAGTAATATGCAGGGTGGGACTGTCTTGGCTTTTTGAATGATTTACAAATCTGTGCCTCTGTCCTCTGGGTGGAGCTAGTGAGCCAGTGAAAATGAAAAACAAGAAGAGATAGAAATATGTTAAAAATGATCAAATTACACTCACAATCAATACATCACAAGTGATATTCATCGTTACAGTAGCTGTGTTTATTTATTCATAATCATCGGCAGGTTCAAGGTGAAGTGTTGATATTCAAGCCGTGACTTTAGGTGGACTTCCATCGTCCTTATCTGCCTCGTTCTCTCCCTCCTCTCCTGTTCCCTCTTTCCTTTTACTACCGCCTTTCAAAATGATCACCTCCCTCCTCTAAAGTCCCAGAGAAAGAAGTCTGCCCACACTTTGTAAATATTTTATGGACGCTCTGAAAAATCAATGGTTTGAAAGGATGAAGGGGGAGAGTAAGAGGGAGTGATGCAAAGAGAGATAAGTGGCGTGCAGGAGAGGAGAGAGGTGTGTTGAATTTAGAGCCCGACCAGGGAGACAAGGAAGGGGCAGAGAAGACCGAGTCTTTTCATGTTCCCTAGTGAGCTGAAAGAAGTAAGGTGAGACCCCTGAAAAGGCCAGAAAAAATCTCATCTCTCTTGAAGCCCACTCTTCTAGCCAGTTATTCATGAGGCAGAAGTGGTTAGAATTTTGTTTCCTGAGTTACCAGAGATGAAAAACTGTCTAGCAGGCTGCTGATGAACTCCAGAAGTGTCTGTAAAAGTCCATTACATAAGGTCTGATTGTCAATGAGCTAATTTTCTGTTACAATGGCTAACATTTAGTTCACATATTAAAATGAAACTGCATTTATACGCAGTGGATTTTGGAAAAAAAAATAAAATGACAAGTGAATGCTTTAGCTTTAGTTTGTTCCCATCAATCATGTTAAGAGTAAAGTGTTGTTGTTTTTTAAAGTTATGAGCAAACACTCTGCAGTGCGCAGCCACCCCCATTCTTGTTCAAGTTCTAGTTTTGTTGCTGAAATATTTCATCTTTTAGATTACACATCTCATGATTTTATGCTTTTTGCTCCATCCATTTTGCCTTCAACTCTAAATAGTTTCCAATATTAACATGATGCTTCCATCACCGTGCTTCACTGTAGAAATGGTGTTCTCATTATGAACTGTAAGCTTTGATCCAGATCAAGAATTTTAGTCTCACCTGACCACAGTAGTTTCTTTCACAATGTTAAACCTTTTGTATTTTGATTTTTACTTCCGCCAAGGGGAGGAGGTAATGTTTTCGGTCACATACGGCGGGTAAAATAAGTATTGAATACGTCAACATTTTTCTCAGTAAATATATTACTARAGGTGCTAATGACATGAAATTTTCACCAGATGTCAATAACAACCCAAACGATCCATACATACAAAGAAATCAAACCATAAATGTCCAGAAATGAAGTTATTTGTAATAATGTGGAATGGCACAGGGAAAAAGTATTGAACAAACTTACTGAAATTTATCTAATACTTTGTACAAAAGCCTTTGTTGGCAATGACAGCTTCAAGACACCCTCCTGTATGGAGAAACTAGTCGCATAGATTGCTCAGGTGTGATTTTGACCCATTCTTCCACACAAACAGTCTTCAAATCTTGAAGGTTTCGTGGACCTCTTCWATGAACTCTGATCTTTAGTTTTTTCCATAGATTTTATATTGGATTCAAGTCAGGGATTGGCTGGGCCATTCCAGCAGCTTTAGTTTCTTTCTCTGAAACCAGTTGAGAGTTTCCTTGGCTTTGTGTTTGGGCTCATTGTCTTGCTGAAATGTCCAGCCACGTTTCATCTTCATCATCCTGGTAGATGGAAGCAGATTTTATCAAGAATGTCTCTGTACATTTTTCCACTCATCCTTCCTTCAATTATTTGAAGTTTGCCAGTACCATAAGCTGAAAAACAGCCCCACACCATGATGTTTCCACCTCCAAACTTCACTGTTGGTATGGTGTTTTTGGGCTGATGTGCAGTGCCATTTGACCTCCAAACATGATGTGTATTCTGGCATCCAAACAGTTCAATTTTGTTCTCATCTGACCAGACTATATTCTCCCAGTATTTCACAGGCTTGTCTAAATGTTGTGCAGCAAACTTTAAACGAGCCTCAACATGCTGTTTCTTCAGCAGTGGAGTCTTTGCGTGAGACAATGACATGAACAGGAACAACAAAGCTCTGACACAGACTGAGGGCACAAGACAGAATATAAAGGAGAACTAATTAGCTAAAACAAGAAACACCTGGGAGAGAAACATGAGGAGCAGGTGAGAGTGGGTGGGGCTGGAGCAAAGACAGGCAGGAGGAAGAAAACAGAAATACAGGACAGAAAACCAGAAGAGGGACCAAAATAAAA